GGGCAGAGCAGTAATTTGTCTGAAACAGCAACAGTTCTTGAGACCTGGTTCTCCTCTACCCCCCTTAAAAACAAACAAACAAACCACACACAAAAAAACCCCCAACCAAAACAAAAAACCCAAGCAAAAATACATATATGTAGACATTTACATCTATTTTGCAGCTTCCAGGTGTATGTATATGTGTAGACATATTACACACACACATATATATAGACAGACACACATGCCCAGAAGCTGCAAAATCGCCAAGTAAAATCAATGGTTGGTTTCTAAGTAACCGGACAGTAAAAGCCCCTTGGTGCTTCCATTGCACTAATTCCCAAGTCTAAGACAATTAACCAGCTCAATCACCAGCAGCTGAACTGGCAGCAGCCCATGCAACCCACCGAGGACGGCTGCGCTGGGAGCAGTGGCTGGGGTAGTGATCGGGATGTCAAGACAAGCGAACGCTGACTCTGGTGAAGCCCAAGGTGCCCAGTCATCGTTGGCTGCTCTGGCCATGCACGGGCTGAGCATCCTCCCTGGGCAAAGCTGCAGGAGTGCCTGGGCCTGCAGGTACCAGGGCAGAGCACCACCAAACGGCTGTGGTTCCCTCCCACAGGGACCCCCCCTGTGCGCAGGGTGTGGGGGCTCCAGAGGGACGGCGTAGGATGGGGGGATCAGCCGGGAAAGGGGGGGGGTTCTGCCATCACCCTCCCAAGCAGTTGTGGACAGTTCAGGTTCTCCTGGGCCAGTGGTGGAAGCTCTCGGCCATTTCTCGACCAGAAGTGATCTTTTATAGAAATCCAAAATGATTGTATGAACTGGCAGTTAGCTATTGCCGAGCTGACACTGGTGTGCTTTCCCTGGAGGATGCTGAAGCACCCGGTCAGTGCTGTACAGAGGCCACTGCCCCTGCAACCCAAGGCCCGCCTCACCCACCACCCCGCTCCGGCCGGATCCAGTGAAGCTCTCTGCACGCACCCAGGGCTGTGCTGCACAGGATGCGGTGGCTGGGCAAAGCCATGTCCCACCGCAGCGCTTGGCTCCAGGGCTCCCTGGAGGAAAGGGGAAGATAGTGTTTTCATGCTACTAATATTTTTTGTTGGTAATTATCGCTCAGCACATCAGCATTTTGGCCCTGGTCATCAGTCTTTATTTGACAGTCGTTAATGCCAGGCGGGGAGGAGATGGGATTCCCCCACAGACAACCATGAGCATCCATGAGTGGTGGTGGCTGACATCCTGCTTGCATGGCAGCCAGCGCCAGCAGTGCTATTCGCTGCTGTTAAAGGAAGTCCTGTGTGTGTCATTCCACCTCTGAGCCCCTACCTTTCCTGCACGGAGCATGCAGCCCAGCCCACCTCCCAGATACCTGGCACCCCACTGCTCCTGGAGGCTTATGCTGATGCTATTTAATCACTCTTTCAAGAGAAAAAAAAGCTCTTTTCAAATTGGAAGTCAGCGCTGCTGAGGAATGAAGTAGCCATTAAAGAAGACATTGCAGGAGCCTCAAGCCTCTCAGGACTGTTTTGCCTAACCCAGAAGCAGCTGATTAAAAATCAGCTCTTATACACACTTTTTTTTTTCATTAGCACAGCTATCTTTCTTCTCCTCTCGCTGATATTCGGCTTCCCTTGCACTTTGCAGAACTGGAGCAGTTGGACCGCTCCCCACAAATCACTGCCCAACCCTGCCGCGCACAGAGAAGCACCAAGAGTTTTATCTGCTGCTTTACCCGTCTGCCTGGGCAACCTGCAGCTGCGCAGCTCAGCACGGCCTGATCTAGGACCCCATCCCTCTGGCTGCAGCCTGCCATGGCACCTT